ACCAATCAAAATAGAGTTTCTTATGCAGAAAGTTGTGTTTTACAAGATGGTATAGTTTGTTTTGAAAACAAAACAACTTCTACTTCAATCATGTTGGTTGACCGTTAGCCGTTTTGGCTGTATATTTATGAAACTAGAACAGTGAAACTAGAATTCATGTGTTTCTCTTTTCATCAATAAAAATTCTGTCTGCATTTCTTACATTAGAAATCGACATTTCCTATGGAAAGAATAATTGATAATCATAGGTAAAACGCTTCTGGACAGATACGCCCGTTTGAATCAGATACCTGAAGGAAATCCCGAAAGCTGATTCTGACTATAATGGAATCAAAATTGGGATCGAAGTCGAAAAACAAAAACTTTTCGTAACTGTTGGGCATGTAATAAATTTGTTAATCACAATGCAGCAAAAAGAAGAACCTGATAGAAGGAGGAAGTTATCTAAATTACTATTTTGATTTTATGAAGCACTTTTGGAAAAAAATTTTGTTCCACAGTAGATCCTGTTAGGTTCTACTAAAAATGCTGCTGCGCAATCTCTTCTACGATTAAGAGTGTGAAACGTAATATAATCCGTGCTATCAAATCTCTGACAAACGTTCCACTTAATTCATTTTAACACGCAGTTCTTCATTATTGCTAAATATATTGAGACAGGAGTCAAAATGAAACTCTATGAGAAACTTTTCTATTATACATAAGTAAAAGAATATCTTGAATCATTATTTCCACTCATCAATAAGTCTATTACCAATGCTATTAGGTATCTATCTCAGATTCTGATCATCCTGAGTCAAGCTACCGATATTTCTCCTGATATTGGACAATGGCTATCTGTTTTTACTATAAGCATTTTAGCGCTTCTCTCAGATCATGTTTTATATAAAACTACTGAAGAAAAATTCAGTGGAATATTGGTAATGTTTAACAAAACGCTTTTCTTACTGTTAGCGGTATATATATGTTTTCATCTTGTGTGTCTATCGTGTCCATCCTTTGTTTCTCTTCTCACACAAGGTCGAAGAAACATATATCTATATATCTATTGCGTAGTTTATTTTCTATCATCTTGTGATAGAGTTTCTCTTCGTCTGTCGTCTGTTTGTTTCCCTTCTGTTCATGCTGTGTCTGTCTACGAGTAAGTCGATGGATGTCCCCATCGACGTGTTGTGTGTTGTGCGTGTGACCATTCTCCTTTGTTTTAATTCTCGTATTTTTGCTGGTATCAAATAAACGCGAATACACACACATCAACAATATCTACACTTACCTCTTAACATGCATAATTAATTGCCATTGTTCGAAGGAGGCCATTGTTTATATAGCATTCTAAAAACATAAAATTTCCCATTCATAGTGAGAGAAGATGCTTATTAAGTAGCATACTTAACAATTGGAGACAGTGTGAAATATTCATCACCTGAATCTTTCAAAATATTCGTGTTGTCGATATCAAACCAATAAACTTCCTTATGGAAAAAAATGTATATGCAGTCAGATGTTCATAGTGATAGTAGAAGAAGCATATTAAAGAAAACTTACATCATGTAGTTCGTCTTTATCACGTATACGAAATTTTTGTTCTCTGTCAACATCCCAGATTATGAAAAAGTGTATATACCGTTCTCCTTCATTGTCTCTTGAAATCGTCACTTTGTATTTCCGTGGTCGTTGAGCTGGAGGATCAAATGGTACGTACAGCTCTTCGTGGAAAACCTTTTTGATGGAACAGAAAACATTCAAAATGAAATGCGTTATCCATCGAATATTCCATGCAGTAAATGTAACGGATTTAGTGTCGCTTTCTCATAGCTGCGCGAACACGAATACAATTTCTAATGTAATATTTCGTAACGAGCGGTCATCCCTTGTAATGGCAAGTAGTGTATCATGTAATCACGTAACGACTAGAGATGTGCGGGACCAGCTCCGATCCCAGTACCCGTAGTCGGAGCCAGAGCCAAAAAAATAGAGCTTTACCGGGACCGAAAAATCTAAAATTTTAGAAGGACCGGGACTGAAAATCCAAATTTAACCGGGTCCATGACCGGAGTCGTGACTGAACTTGAAATCTGTGTGATATTCTTAACTGTGCGATTTTTAAAATTGAATATTCCGTACATCATAAATTCAATTTATTAAGAATTTAAAACTAGGGAACTGCAAAAATGTCCCAGACCCAGTCCCGGTTCCGGTCCCGATGGGACTGAAATCGGGACCAAAAAATAATTTCTAATGGGACTGGGACCGGAAACGGGACTAAATACTTTTTTAGTCAGTCCCAAACATTTTTTTTAAGGAAAAAGCTTGTCTATAGTACTTGATTCTTTTATTTTCAAGTATTAATTTTACTATTTTCCCTTTCAAATATATTATAATACAAGAAAATCTTAACATTTATATTCAAAATTTCAAAACAACACGATAAACTAAATAAATGGCAATCTTGACTATAGTCAATTTTTAAAATACTTCATAATCGCTACTGTCACTTGCATCGATAAAATCATGATCTTTAGGGTGTGGGTGTAGGCTCAATTAAAAATAGAACACCCTCACCTACCCCCAAAAAATAAACATAGTTAAAAATAGGAGTGTGTTTCAGAAAATCGGAACCGGGGCCAAAAGAAATAATTTAATCGGGACTGGGATGGGATCGGGGCCAAAAAAAGATGGTCCCACAGTTCTCTATTTAAAACAAAGCAACCACGAGCAAAATGATATTAATCATCCTTTTCACTGATAGCATTATAAAAAAATTTTGAAATAGCATTTACTCCAATAGTTGTTAGATGTCGCTTATAGTCAGATGATATTAAGCCGAATTCATCAGTCGTAAAATCTTTATAGTCAACAACAGCCACCGGGACCGGGTTCGGGACCGCTGACAAAGTTACCTAGGCCGGGACCGTTGGAAAAAAAGCTGCCGGATCCGGACCGGAATCAAGAAAATAAAATATTCATCCGTACTATGACCGGGACTGATAAAAAATGAGTTACCGGGACTAGACTGGGAACGGAACCAAAAAAACCTGGTCCCGCCCATCTCTAGTAATGACACATATTTATACTCGAAAAACCTAGAATTTTACTTCCTTGTAACACCATGCATTGACAAGTAATACCTGCCCCATAACTCCAACGCTTGACAAGATCGTTACAGTCCATTGTAAAGAAGTAAAATTCTAGGTTTTTCGGGGGTATATATAGCTTGTTCCGGCAATACAATTGGTCATGGTATTCGTGCAGCGCTCTTATTTATCTATCCACATCGATACCTATTCGAAGAATCAATAGAATTGCAAGTCAATTTACACGATATCATAATATACGAGAGGACGATTACGATGCAATCTATTTCATTTACATGCACACACTTACTTCTCTACAGGCGCATGCCCAATCATCGCCGTTATCCCCAGCTTCCATACTGCCTTTTGGAATACCAACATTGCGATGGAATGCTCTTTTTTGACGAACGGCGAGTACCTGTCACAGACATAAATATGTTTGACACATTTTCTTGTAGACACTTCAATAAACTCACAGCCGGAAAGCCATTAGCATTGACTTGTCGGCTAGCGAAGCATATTCCATATGAGTTCCACTTTTCGGGCCACATCTTACACCAGGAGTCGAGTGCAGCTTTTGGGATTATTTTAAACGAACGTCTAATGATCGCGAGATCATATTCATAATCCCAATCAGTCTCATTAACTAACAAATATCTCTCAGATAGCAGTAAAAATACATGACATCTTATGGCAGATAATATTTACCCGTAATCGTATAGATTCTCTGGCTTTTTCTTGCGTGATTCGGCTGACTTTTGGATCGTTGTCTGGTGTTCATACCTATTATTTAGGAAAAAAGATGGCAATTCCTTATTAAATATAATAAATAGCTTTTCATAACTGCAACAAGCATGACATTTTAAGGGTTTTTGCAATTATTCAAAATGTTAAAGCCAAACTACTCTTGTTTTGTGAATTTCAAGGATTAGAAGTGCAATCATGTTTTATCCAAATGATCGTAATTCACCATTAGAAATTATTTAAATTAAAATTATTCAGCCGTTTCTTACCTCGACGTCGCCGAGTGTCCGATGTCGCAGTGAAACAGTTAGGATAAGACCCAAATGCATCATTCTTGATATCATTCAATTGATTAAATATATCTAAGAAAAAGTTCAACACAATATTTTCGAGAAAAAAAATTCAAGTAGTGTCGGTTCAGATGCTAATATTATCTACTTAGTATAAATCTAAAATAAGAACCTGTTTTCATAATTTCGAAAGAAAAGAAAGAATAATACATGAGATTTTGTTCAATTCACAATGAAAGAGAAATAATAGCATAAATTGACTAAGTTGTTAATGTTGTTCTTGTTTTCGTTGTTTAGTTAAAGTCAATGTTAAGGTATTTTGTCCAGTTAGCTGATGATGATCGTGTAACTGATTGAAAATTCCTGAAAATAAAATTATTTCCAACTTAATCGATTTATGCTATTATTTCTCTTTCATTGTGAATAAGAACCTGTGTATAATTATCCATCTGCTCGTGGTAGAAACCTGTGAGGAACTCCAAAACTTAATAGAAAATAAGACGCTGTTACAGTCCGGGTCGAAAAACGAAAGTTATCCTAATCCGAGTTGACATTATTGAAAAAGGTTTCACATTTTAGTGGAATTGAGTTAAGAATTAAAGTTATTATGTTTGGGACTGTATAAAAACCATGTACAACTATTTGATTAATACTATTGTTTTGCATTAGAACACAAGGACCATAATTTATTTTCATATTGAGCCTGCCGACTGTTGGAATAGATGTAACAATTGCTATTATAAGTCATTGATGAAATATATGACAATATTTCAATATTTTACCAGCATAGATTTTTTCTTTTAGAAAAGTTTTACAAGTTGATGATTTTCGTCTATAGACTTCGAAATAAATTTTTTGTCGAATATTTGTTAATCACTGTTTTATTTTGAAAGCGCTATAAATCTCAAGAAAATCGAAGTTAATTTCTTCACAATTTTATAATTTTTATTGACATATTTGTCTCTATTGTTTATAGATTTGTATATATTTATTCGAAATTCAAATATCATATATTACCTATTTTACAAAACAGAATTTCGTAGTGTTTCGGCATAAAAAGTTGAACTGCACAGGTCACTAGTTTATAACGAACGAAAAACTTATATACTAATTATTGAAAGCATTCATTACTATTTGCTTGCTTCCATGAACAGTCATGCCTCCATACCAACAGCCATATGCACACATCCGCAGTGCTTTATCCAGGTTTTTTTACTCCGGGAGGGCAAATTTAATTGCCGGGGGCAGATATAGTTACCTGGGAGGGCCAACAGAGGATTTTCTGGAAGAACTATGATCAGAGTTCATTTTTCTCGGGGGAGGGTGGGGGCGGGCAAAATGGCCCATGCCCCCCTCCCATCACTGGATAAAACACTGCACATCCGGATGGTCATTTGTAGAGGAGCTGTGCAAAGATGAAACACAAGGTGGACTTGGTAAGAATTCGGATTGGTTCTTTTATAAACTTATCGTTTTGGCATCTATGTTGATATATTGTCAGTCAATTACTGAAAATAGCTGTTGAGCTCACGCTAATTTTGTAACGAGCGATCGTAAGCGTGAAAAGTTTTGTTCAAGAGCGTCCTAAAGGTATAGCCAGGTTGACTTTTTTGTGGCTAGGACTACAAGTTTCATGCTCATCGGTGGCATGACTGCTGTTCCTACAGTCACCGCTCATGGGTGCATGCGTGAGGTATACACTCCTATTGCCAATTCTTTCAAGCCCATCCCAATTATGCCCCAATTCCAATTCTTAACAATTTCGACTAATTTTCAGAATTGGATTTGCTAGACTTGGAATTGGTGCACCCCTAAGATATTTTTCATTTAGACAAGGAGTAGCTGTGTAATGATTTTTGCTGAGAATTGACGCAGAACATGTATAAATATCTCGGTGCATTTTTAGAAAGCTGCAATTATTCTAAATGAAATATGAGGTACATTGCTATTCTTCTTGAAAGCAGAGCGCTTCAGAACTGAAACACAGACACCCATTTGCATCTATTTCGCAGCAAAACTATGAAAGCAGCATAGGCTTTACTTACTTATTTGTGATGACATGTTGTGACTTGCCGGATTTTGCCTTCTAGTAGCAAAGAATTCATTTTGCGCTTTATAATTATATACCTGACAGCATTTTTTTTTCGCTTCAATTTTGATGATTATTTTTTTTAACTTCGTTTTTTCCTGTATGTTTTTTTTTCGTGATGGCATATTGCCTCTGTAATTTTGACGACGTAGAAAGCATGAGGGGTGCAACGGCGGTGATCGTTCACTTCGTCGCAATTATTTCATCGCACGATCACTTCGTCGCAGAACAGTTCGTCGCAACACATTTCGTCGCAATGAAAAAAAATACTATAATTTCATCATTCACTTGAAATCTTTCACGAAGATGATCAAGTAAAAGAATTTCTTTTGAATGTGAAATATGATTTGGTAGAACACTGTCAGGACTTTCTTCAATTGATATGCATTGATGATTTTCATAAAGAATCTGGAGAAAAAAGAAACATAAAATTTGTTTTGTTCTTTTTTTTACAAAGAGAAATAATAAAATACTTCTTTCATATTAAGTTTAAATGGTCCATTCGATCGACACTGTGAACATAAATGTGGTTTGATTTTATCTTCTTGATTTTGGGTAAATGTTCCACGTGTAAAATCACATTTTTGACAATTTTAGTTAATAATACTTGATTGTGGCAAAGCATCAATGCGTATTATTATAAGATCGTCTATACCAATTTATGCAACTCTTTAATTCAAATAGTAAAAACATCAACATAAAGAAAAAGATTGTTCTTTTTGTTATCTTAAATCTTGAATAGTATCATTGTGAAGATCATTATTGACTCATAAAAATAATTCTTTTTCGATTGATTGATCATTTTAATAAAGCTTAAAATATACTTCTTTTAATGTTTGTTTTCGTACGACAAGTAAAAAAGGTAACATTCCATTCATTGCCATTAAATGTTCAAAATCGATTAATAATTGATTGTTTTTGTTTTTTTTGTAGAAGATGATGTAATGGATCACAATAAATTAGCTTATTTGTTCCACTAATAGTTATTGTTGTTCTTATTATAAAGGCCTGTAAAAATATTTTTAAATGTCGAATAATTTCATTATGTGACGAAAATATTTTATGAACTGGTATATCAGCTAAATTTCGACTATCTACATCTGATTAATTATTCATGCCAATCGCATCATCATCGATACGTCAATGTTTTGTCTCGCGTCGCTAAATCAATTGAATGATCATATTGATCAAGATAATTTTTATCATTTAATTATTGACAAAGCCGACGATGCTTTTTCACGTTGCCGTTATTTTATTTCGCGTTGATCACATTGATATTTATTTAATTGTAACTCTTGCTCACCATCAACTTCAGCTACTTCATATCGACCTAATTCATCAATTGCTTCATAATCTTTAAAATTACATATTTTTCGTAATACGTAAATGTAAAAGAATTTTCTACCGTTCAAAATTATCAGCAAAGATTCTGCTTTCTTTATCACTTAATTGCTCTTCTAAACAATAAATCATATATATATATATTTTATTTAACATATTTCGAAAAAAATGTTAATATGTAATCGTTGGAATATTTCAACTCAATCCAAAATCAAAGAAAATTCTACAATTATTAATTATTTTCTTTCAACGGGTAATCTTAATAGTCATCATGTATCAAGTAAAAAATTTATATGATTGATTATACTGGTGGATGAAAATGATTTTAATAAACAAAAAAGTCTTTTAATAGACTTGCTGAAAAAGAAAATATATCTAGTATTGAAATAATATCAAAAATTGAAGATAAACCAGCTGCAAACATTATTTTTCTTTCTTTTTAGCAAATCCAAAAGATCTATCAAGAAAATTTGGTCATAAAAAAATTCGGTCCTCAAAGAATCAAAAATTTCGAATACCATACCGAATATTGCAATGACTAATCCATGGAATCGCTAAAAACAGCAAAAAGTGGCGTCTTTTTAATGACTAGTTTTTTATATATGACACAATATCTCAACTAATGTAATAACAAGAAAGAAAAAGAAATAGGAATTGAAAAAGAACCATTTCGACAGAAGGTTCAACTAACAAATATCAATATCTTCAACGTCTATATCTGATCCGACCGCGCAGTGACTAGTACGTGTAGAGCACGGTGTTACATCGGCATTGAACGAAGTTAGACTTTGATTTGTTTCGATTGCTTGTACAAACTTGGCAAAATAAGCCGAATGTAATGCTGTCCATTTTCCGGTAGCATCGGTTTCCCAAAAGTCCAACTGGGCACCAAATAATTTATGTTCAGTAAGTCGTCCGAATTCTGGTTTACCTCCATACGTTTCGACTATTGTAGATTTGTTCGATAATAGATTGGAGCTCGATGTATTCGGGTTGTTTTCGACCTGAGAGAAAACAAGCAAAGTTCATAAGTTACAAGTAATGCCAATGACTGAGCAATTTAGAATATTATGCTATCCTATCCTATCCTATAGCTTCCTTGATTGAAACATATGCTACTCATATGTCATAGATATTTGCTGATACTCATGATGAATCGGTTTGTACTCTCAGTTGAAAAGACAGATCTTATTCAAATTATTCTAGATTCAATTTCTTCCAAAGTTTAGTAGTAGCATGGATCGGGCAATCCGCTGGGCCCCTTGACTGTAAAAAGTCTTCTGCCATTTAGGTTTCTGCTTCTCAACCATAGTAATTGAGCTTAGATAGTTTATCCTTCTGTCTGCCTTCATGCCTTCCGCTTTGACATTGCATCGGTACCCTGAGAATATAAACATTGAGGACCTGTGGATGCTACCAAAGAAGTCTTCGACTATGACATCAATTCGAAATACTGCTACATACACACCAGCGCCAGTGAACTAAGTACTAGTTGGACTGGATATATATATTTGACAGATCTATGATTTATTGAATCATTGAATCATTGGTAGTTTTCTTTGTGTTAGTACATCACAATTATCTAATTCTGGTACGCTTAAAAACCCAACAAAGAGAGAGAAGCGAAACTGTTATTTTAGCGATGATTTCTTTCTACTATCATACAGGCGAAAGTGTTCTAGGCAAATTGCGCGGTTCCCTTGAAAACCTCTTATTGACACAAGCAACACCCTCTTCCGTTCGTGGAATAGCGTAGGAAATGATGACCCAAACAACGGCAGTTAGACTGTGGACAAACATACGACCAATGTCAAGTTTTCGACCCTGAATGTAGTCAAGGAAATAGTTCATATAATAGTAATTGATATATAGATATGATATTCTTAAAAAAATACACACTCTTCTGATTATTTGTCTTTACTATCAAGGTAAGTAACCTCGTATCGTGTATGTACACAAGGAGTAAAAAACCGTTCACAGATTGTATGGTTCACTCATGCATTCTGTTGTTTAAGCATATTTGGTCGTCAGAAAAAACGAACACATCATTTTTCATTACACAGAACGATGTATATAAACAACAAAAACAAAACTAATTTAAAATACTATTGGTAACTAGCATCGTTTTCAATACTATCAATGTTTATGTTTACGTGCTTTATTAGAAATATTTTTTTCTGTTTGGTATAATAACAGATCATAAGCATCATGTAGTATGCACGAATTATGTTAATAACGATATGAAGCAAAAAAATGTATGTACCAAAAATAAAATTGATAAACCACATAGTTATGACGATTTAATACAATATTTGATTAAATATAGTAATAAGACATTATTGATAGATCAAGCAGAAAATGTCTTAAATCATACAGTTTATTGATTTCTAATATACTTTTTTTAATCAAGATTTTTGAATAGACTGGCAATAAGAATTTTTTCTAAAGGGTACTAGAATATATGCTAAATAATATTTAGAGAAATAAAGATCATCTATATGAGTTAAAAATAAAGCTAGTAATTAATAACTCTGTCTTGAATGCAATTAAGTACGGTTGAAAACTACGGTATAAGTACATTATGATTTACTTAAATTTAGCAGTGTGATTTCTTGTTAAGAAAGCATAATTAATTCTGACATTTCAAAACTTTTTTATCTCTAGAAGAGACGAGATTTGACGAAACCCATACAGGAGTAGTAATATACTGTAAAGATACATGCATTTTAGACCGTTCCCAGAGTGAAAAAAATCGATGATTTTCGACCAAGCTCTTTTCAAAATAAGTCCAAGTGTCATACTGTTAGCAATTAAACAGAAATACACTTGAATAATTCTGCATATGTCATAAATATGCATTCTACTATTCATAATTAACTATCTACTCCATAGTCTTAAAATCTCATTAAATTTGGATGCTGATAAGCTAAAATGCAACGAAACAACTAGGAGAATCAATGAATTGAAACGATGTCTGCTTTGATTCTATAATCTTTATTGGTCAATTATTAATAGATGTGTATTTATATCATAATATCACCTTTTTCTGTTCAAAAATATATTCTATATCAATTTTGCGCTGTAAAACAGGTATTCTACTGAAGAGCGTCTATTAGGATAATAAACATAAAAAGATATCGTTGTTTGTCAAAACGTTCAGCGAATAAATGGAATATGTACGGATAAAATAAAAAAGCTTATGAATGGGAGCATGATGTAAAAAAAACCATGTTTTGTCTATTAAACATTGAAATACAATTTAATTGCTTTCATTATGTTCAAGTGCTCAAAATCGTCTATTTTTTGCTGTTAAATGTAAGCAATGAAGCAAGCGAAATCTCATCAGAAAAATCTTTATCAACTGAAATATCTTTGATGAGAAAATAACTGGCAATGTGTCAGTCATGCCATTTAACAGTTCGCTGACAGCTATTTAGCGCAAACAATCAACTATTCAGCTAATATAGGTAATACTGAGAAAGGAAATTCGAGAAACATGTTGGTAAAGTTCAAGATTTGCTTTTCGTCGACAAGCTAAAAACGTTGAAATTTATGTTATAAATTATTTTGACATATCCAAGAAAAAAGTTTTTTTTCTATTTCTTACCAAGGCGAACAAAAGAAGATATCAAGTGATGCTATCTTCTAATACTCTTTGTAGGCTGTCAACCACTATATAAAACAATTCAAAGAGAACATCTAAAGAACATGGTATCTATAGAAAAAGTTGTGCAAGTTTATTTGCAAATCCTTGTAATACTTTCAGACAAAATAAAACTAAAAGTATTGATGAATCACGAATTATTATATAAAATAATCAATATTTTTTCCATCAATACTATTAAACTTTGGAAGAAGTTGAGTCTAGAGCAGCCCTAATATTGGTAATATGTTTCATCATGAGTTTGAATATTCGCTTTCTAAAAAAATCTGATAATTATGTCAAAAGATGATATAAATAGCTGCAAGACTATCATTTTTCTATACTAAAATAGTATGCAGCTTGAAAACTGCATATATTTGTCCAACAAGTACATGATGGTAGTTGATATTTTAAATTCGTTAGTTTCTTGATAAGAGTGATCATTTGATCTGAACAATATCAATCTTTTTAAGTCGCAGTACAAATCGTTGTACTCTAAGATACTTCCGAACATATTTTTTGCACAATTATCACATTAACTAGGCACATACTAAGACAATTTTCAGGAGAGTAGTCGACCAACATTCTGTGGCATACTCGGTACTAGGATACTTGTATGGATAGTCTGCCGGTAATCGTCTCGGTACAAATGACTTGGTACTTTGGCTTAAGAAGGACGATGTTCACTTATTTCTTACGCTATAACGGTTTTCTAAGAGAATTGTCAAAATGACTTTATGAATCATTACCAGCATCGAATGGAGATGGCCAATTCGTGCTGAATTTCATTAAAATTTTCTCTAATATTGGTGAAATTAATAAACATAATTTCGATATTAATCTATCTACGATTTTTTGGCTGTGAACTTAACGATGGAAAGGACAATTTGCAATGTCAAAGTTTAAATATGCCATAAATATAACTATGCGTATTCAAGATAAACACATAAATATATGTTTCTGAGGACACGTCATCGTTTTATAGATGCTAATTTTTATTTTTTCGCCTGTCTGGTATTCATAGAATTAAAAAGCTTTTCATTTAAGACATCAGCTAGACGAAAAACAAAAATATTCTTTATTTAATATAGGTACTAGTATAAAGTGCGTCACTATTGAAATAAGTTGGATTAGAATTGAATATATATTATGTCTTATAGTAAAGTTATCGACATATTAAACAAATCGAGATCTTCCATTTTGTCTTATCGTTCAAAGATTTCAAAGAGATCTTCTATTGTGTCCCTCCAAAAGTCATCGATTTTTATAGTCTGAAGTACAATTCCTAGTTTCAACTCTTTTTCGGACAGATATCATTAGTAAACTAGCTTATCTGCATAATCCATGTATTCACGATGTAAACGAAAGACGTAGCATTTTATTGTAAAAAAACAAAACAGATATCGATAAGAAGAGTATTCACGAGACAAAACAGTGAACATGAATGGATGGAAAATGTCGAAAGGGAAAAATATCGAAAATAAAAATGTTGAAAACAAGAATATGAGATGAACATGAGCATGTAAGATTGAATTGACGATGAGGGAGACTTGTACTTCAATATACTCTCGTTTTCAGCATTTCTATCCGTCTGCATTTGTATCAATTTTGGTTTCGACATTTTTCCCTTTCGATATTTTTCCTTTCTGCCTTTTCCCATCATATCTTGAACATAGGCTACGATCTTGTTACAACATACGATAGCGATGTTTTTTTTCTTAAAGAATGCGGTTACTGACAGCGATATTGATTGTCCTGTATCGCGAATAGCTGTAAGAAAATAAAAGTTTTTGTTGTCAAAGTCACTTTAGTCAGTCACTCATGTTGAGACTTTAGTAATACGGATAAAATTCCTTCAAAGTTAAATTTGCCACTAATCTAATTATTAGTCACTAACTAACTACAATGAAAACGATTGTTTCATTGATAATTCCTAATCAGAAAAAGAAAATTAAACTATCTGATAACGTACTTGCCGTAACCGAGCATGGGAATATTCGTGAAGACCAACACAAAAGAGAGTCATTTTAAATATAACATTTTTATCATCGTCACTTAAAGATGAACTAATTTTGAATGCTTCATGACGATCATTTATGTATAAAATATTGATACAAATTGTATTTATGCCTGTACAGCCACGTAGATTTTTGATGGTAGAATGGACGAGTTTGACCGAGATTTTTTCTGATGTAGCATGTATTGATTTTCCAGTAGCGCTCGAGATAAGATCATCGACCAAGGTATTAACCTGAAAAGAATTATCTCAAACTATTGCCCGTTTGAAAAGAGAATGGTCTCAGGCATTTTTGAAATAACTCAACAACGAAAAGAGCTACAGTTTGCACCATTTTATACACAATTGAGTGCCCTATAGATTCACTAATAAACGATAAAAATACTATCTTTTCAATTAATGTGTTCTATCAATCTTTGAAAAGTACGGATACGAGTTTCTTACGTCTGATGATAACTTTTAGGTTTCAAATGTGCAAAGATTAGCTCAACTATGTGTCTACAAGATGGCAAAAGGTTGACCTCGCTAACTTATATAGCTCAACAGTGAGAGACATTTTTCTAAGATTCGTGATGCAAGTAATTTTTCTAAATAGAATACTTATGAATAAATACAGGAAAATACATGTTTAATAATGTTTTTATGGGCGAGAACTAGCATTATAATCTATGTCGTCAAGATCTCTGAACTTTTGTAAATGAGGAACAAGAAGTAGACTAATGCAGCAGCAACATGTATTGAAAATATGCAATCAAAATGCAAAAAATATTAATACGAGAAATTCATGAACAACATACAACGAATATTTAATTCTCCTATACTTATAGATATGTCTGACAAGTCCCGATTCCAGTCACAGGAAACAAAAAATAAAATTTTACTGGGGCTGAATCAGGACCAAATAAATCTTTATTGGGATCAGAACGAGATTGGAACCAAATTGTAAATTCTATGGGAACTTCATTTAGCAAAATATGCCCTAAATCACACTAATTGAAACAAATTTCAAATATGGATGACGAAAAAACTTGATATTCGCCGACTGAATTAACGAAAAGACGAGTATTGAAGGCTTTTTCATATTTAATGCAAAAAAAATTTTTTTTGTGAAACAGTTCTTTCTACATTGGGACAGGATCAGGACCGAAACTAAAAAAACTTGCTTCCACATATGTCTACAATTGAATCGTCCGTCATCTAGGGAAGTGAAGCTTATTTCATGGATTATAACATCACGACTTCTTTTTATTTAGTTATTTTCTGATCGTTGGCACTATGGAGACATACAATTAACCAACCAACTATACCGCGAATATTTTTAGTCTTAGACAAAAATCAATGCTGGAAAGAAGCCATTCGTAAAGAAAAATATCAAAAGAATGTAGGTATTTAGAGATTTTTATTGTCAATAGTTGGGTCTAGATAAAAATCAATATGATAATCGGAATCCACAGGAAAAAAATACATTAGAAACATTATTTTTCATGATAAGCCTTTTTCCATTAGAATTTCACTCGTGGACAAGCACACGCAAAATTCAAGAAATGAAATGCTGAGAGGAATTAGGAGTGAAATTTTGATGAAAAATAGAGTTTCTAATATATTTGCTCATGTGGATTCCGCGTGTCATATTTATTTTACATAGAGTTGAAATTTTGACAACGAATATCTATAAATATATTCATACTTTTGGTATGTGTCGATATCAATAATCTTCGTCTCTCGCTAGTAGTGATTTTTTCCTAAGACTAACAATGTTCAATGCTTCATTGGTTGATTATATCTATTCGTAGTGCCAACAATCAAAAAACGGCTAAACGAAAAACAAATTTCCGACGAGCAAGGTGTGCGTGCCACTTTCTTTTTAGAAAACAACTTATTTTAAAAAATGATCAAATAAATGAAGAAATCAGAATTATAAGAATTTTCATAGTTGACATGCGCGCTCTGAAATGTTATTTTGCCGAAGCCTTATATTTATAATTACTTTTCTATCAATGTATTTGATTCATTTAACATCCTAATGTTGGGAAAAAATTATTTTTATTCTCCGATGGATCTTCAATGCATAACTTCTATTTACTTAATAATAATATCGATACGATACATGTAAAATGTCAAATATTAGTCATAACTATTGATTAATTAACAATTTTCATAATCAGCTAATTCATTGATCTGTTTGTAACGGTCTGCAGTGAGGAGGTTACTAATGTCTGCAATAGGGAGTTCGTTGCTACATATCTGTAATGAGGGTCTAAGGGGATGGGGACTAGATGTACGTGTGAATAGTGATGTGATAGTTATGGGAGCGGTGCGTGCGGATAAGAATAGATGTTATCCATATCCACACCCTAAAATATTGCTGCGAAGTCAAAGGACTGTATTACGCACTTCATTGTGACATATTACAGATTCAATGAATTTCTCCCAAGTAAGCAATGTAGTTGGTGCTGATTCAATATCGATAAGTACAGTGCTATTAGTACGAATGATGGCAGACAGCAATGCATCTTCGTCAAAATCCGATTTAATCATAGCAAGCAGGCACATCATTTTTGAGCGTTGAGTTGATGAAACAACGCCATCAGGAGAAATAGTTAATACTTCAAGCATATTTCGAAATGCAAGTGATGTGTATCGTTTTTTCGGATGACATTCAATAAGAGATCGTATAATTACACATGGTAATTGTCTACAAAAGAAAATAAGAAAAAGTTCACAATAATTGTAACAAAATAATAATAATAACCGATATGTAAGATCATTGTCGACGTTTTTCACTTGTACGACATCAATATATTTTGCTTTCTCTATTAATTGATCGAGTCCGGTTATTGATGTAGACATACTTTCCACAAACCATCGAAATTCATTAAATAAAGTTGAAGTTGATGACATAGCTGTATGATATATTTCGGGAAAAATCTATCTTTATATTAACAAAACGAAGGCCAGTGAGAAAAAGAGGACAAATTCAACTTTGACCAAAAATAAATGTTGGAAAACAAAATAAGCGTGAAAGTAAGGATAAGGATGCAAGAGTGAAGTTGAGGATGACTCCTACAACTACAGTCACGATCCGTCATTTTCCACATTTGTATCATTTTTGTTTTCGACATTTTTACTTCTGATTGAAGTTAATGAAACTCAAAAAGAAACGCGTAGCCCCCGTCTACACTACAGAGTTAAAAGAGTATTAACTTTTGTAGTGTAGACCAGATATTACCAGTGTTCCGACTGAGAATTCGAAACGGAATGTAGTATTGCACTTTGTTTCGAGAATCAAGATGCAGCAAAGTGAAGCTGTAAAAGAGTATCTAGAAAAAAGAAATAGTAGTTCACGTTTCGCACTTTAAGCGTCTAGTGTAAAACGCTTTGACAAAAAAATTTGACTAAAATTCATAATTTAATCAAATAAAACATTGAGTGCGTGTTGCAAAGGTCTCTGATTTTCTGGATCTGTTTCGAATCGATTTTAATTCTTAGATTAACAATAAAAAATGTACAATACTGAAACTAAGATCAAACAAGAGATAACTCATCGAGTGGTTACGAGCATTAAACAAATATTTGATCGGTGACATAAATGTTCCTTTCAAGCGAAACAATGACGCTCAGGTCAAAAATCCTTCAAAACTCAACTTACGATACAAACATCAAACAAACGAACAGTAACGAAAATACACCGCTTGCCCCAATAACGTCACACCAGTGTAAAAATGAATTCGCAGCGGAAAAAAGAAAAATTCAATGAGAAAAATGCTTTGGATAAATGAAATATCATTTTGCTTGTAGAAAAAAAATGGGTTCGTATGTAATGGAAATGAGCGTACATGTATTCGCGATAAGAGAAAAATGAGTTTGCGCGATACTAAGGATGTTGGAAAAATTTACAGTCGATTAGATTATGGTTGACTTTGGTTAAAACAATGATTGGTAAATTTGCATGAAGATGGGATGCGAAAATCATTTATGATATAAGCGAAAGCTTTGGGTGTTTTGTGGTGATGCGTGACGAATGTGAAAGAGCTGGTAAGAAGTTGGATTTCAATGAATCGTTGGGAAAGAAGGAACGTGAAGAATGAAAATGAAAATGAAAATGAAAACTACTCATATTTGGTGTTTGTAAAGTTGTGTACTGCATGGAATATGTTGTATATGCACGGATATCGTTTTTGAGCAGTAACGACAAAAGTATTCGATATTAATTTAGTGTACACAAGCTGAATTATACTGACATAGTTTGTCTTCTGTTATAGACAGAACGGGAAAATAATTCATTTTTGATCTGGGCGGCATTTCCGCTTGAAATTTACATTTTTCTCACCGATCGACTTTTTGTCTACTGCTGAAACTATGTACATCAACACGATCATCTCAAATACATTTTGTCGAGCTTCTAGACACTTAATTAGATTCTGCATTTATTAAAACGCAACATAGAACGATTCTCATCCATCCAACTGTAAAATTGTTACTTCATATCCTGAAATGACAGTAAAAACAGGGAAATAACATGACAGCTAAAAAAATTCAACTGTGAAGAGTAAACAGCCGAGTAAACGTAGTAGCAAACTCAAAGTGCGAAATTTTTTAACAGAGTGCAACATCTGTGCTTTACTTTTTCGAGTAGAATGCAAATTAGAAATACTGAGTGCCTCACGCCTTTCGTTTTTCCTTGGTGCACTCATCATTCGGAAGACTGGATCTTATATAGGATAGTTTGTTTATGAATGAATGCATTTTTCCCCATTCATTTGATTCTACAGTCTACCAATCGAAATTGTTTTCTTCCTTGTAGTAGAATCATCGCAAAAGATATCGAACGCAAGCGACATCTTTCCGTTAATTTGTGAATAATCCACTACTATATTTTCTCTCAACTATCTTATGACTAATTTAGATATACAGACGATTCAAAAATTAATCATTCGCCTAAGGAACATATTATATTGAAGAGAATAACTTCTGAGGTACAATATTTTGTTTTCAATGAAATTTATGCTATTTTTTAAAACTCATTGAATACACTATCTGGTATGGTATATTTATTGGAGGAAAGTATTAATTTGCCTATGTTATATGTTTTAGTCAATCGAACAGATATCCACGATTAAAAATTATAATTTTGGGTGTGGGTGTGGGTGTATATAAGCAAGACACACCCACACCCTCAAGTTGAAAAAAAGCTATATTCAGGCAAGATCTCTGTCAAAAAATGTTTCATTGTACACTTCATCATTGTTTCACATATAACATGTTCAATTTATGCTTTTGCAGCTGATGAATTATTTATATTTAGCATAATCCTAAAACATAAGAGATATGAATATAAATCAATCGCCAGGATAAATATGCTTACTTCGTAAGAAGAAAAATCTAATAATTAAACTAGAGTTGACGGTGACATTTTTCATTTCGTAACGACCAACAATGATTGGAAGTGTTTGTTCACTTTCAGTTTTTTGTGCAATTTTTGGTTTGAGAGAAAGGGTTCTATTTTCTGATCCTATCGTGCATATCATATAGATCCATATATAGAAGAGAAAGAACCAAAGTTCATTAAAATTATGCTATTTTTATGCTATTATAGTCTAATCTAAAACTTATATCTTGCCCATACAGGTTTCATCGATTAGAAAAAATTAAAATTTAGATTACAATCCAGCGGACTATCAGCTTAAACTATTCAACAAATATTGATTCCAAGAACATATAATTTAGTTGAAAATTGTTTAGGCTTAACCTAAATGATAGAATTGAAGAACGTTCGGTACAATCGATCAGTTAAACAAAGTATACAATACTTTCATAAATGTAATTTATCAGGTTATATAAACATAAAAAGGCCACGACACGATGATCTAAGGGTGTGGACGTGGTGTCGGTGGGTTGGTATTGGTCTTCTTCTCACACCCACACGCTCATGAATTAATAGTTAACGAAAATCATTTACAATTATTCGAAATTGTTTAGCTAAAATAAAATTGTAGATCTTATAAAAGCATAGGAATTTTAAAGTGAAAAAATAAGAGATATGACACTATCATAGAAGATAAATCTTAGTGAGAAAAGATTATAGAGAAAGCTTAAGATCTTTTGACTTTAGACCAACTGGCAAATCATCTGATTTGTATCATTAGTAATTAGTTTTTATCTGTTCAGTTAGTTTTCCTCCTAAAGTTTCGAATCAAAATTCGTAAATCAACCATTACATTGTTTATTATAATGATGACGGTTTAAACTAACAAATGCTATGTAATTGCAGTCTCTCCGTAACAGTAGGGTAAATGTTCACCCTAGTCGAACATCTTGTAAGCAAGATCTGGGATCTTGGGATCGGTAAGTAAGATATTATTAAGATCTCAAAAAGATAATTTGTATGTACATATCTTGGTTGTATCAGATAAATCTGTACTTGAGATCTTGGCAAGATCATGGAAAAAATATCGTGTACTATTATCTTCCGATAAGATCTTGAGCGAAACAAAAAGCGACATCATTAGTGTATTTACATGCTCTCTAGTCATTCACTGTTTTTTAAATGCATGCACAGATGTATATAAACAGCATGATTGAACATACGAAATACAAATTTTCAAATTTTTTTTTCAACGGTTTCTCGATTATTCGAGAGAATGCTGATCTCGATCGATGATCGAGAGAGGACTTCTCTAATTGGTCCGACGGATATCGGACCAATTTATAGTCAGTCAGATCCCAACATCTGACTTGTTGGAATTCGGAAGAGGAATAATTAAAATGAAAATAAATTGAAAAAATATTAAAGAATGCAGCAGGTATTATTTTAGTGTGCATCCAAGATTTAATGGATTCTTATGTAAGATCTGTAATTAGATCTTGGGTACAAGATAATACAGTTATNTTATCTGATGCAACCAAGATATGCACATATAAATTATCTTTTTAAGATCTTGATAAGATCTTACTTACCGATCCCAAGATTCCCAGATCTTGCTTACAAGATGTTTCACTAGGGAAGCCTTTGCATGCTGCTATTCGTAGCTCTACATTATTGCGATTGGTTATCATTTTCTATAATATGTATAAGTAAATAAAGGTAATCGGATGCAAGATAAACTCATGTTATATCAATTTGACCACGTTATTGTCCAGTATTAGTTAAAATTCATAAAACTATATCATGTAAAATACGAAGAAGCACTCGGAAAACAAAAACATTCGATCGTGTTAATATAGCATCTTCAGTTGAATTTTGTACTAGACATCAAAGAATTATATTTAAATTGATTAATCATCTATTTATAGTTTGATGATGAATATCCTAAAAAAAATTGAACATTTCTATTTGTTAATGCTCGAAAAGCAACAACAAATCGATCAATTGGTTGTAACGGAATTGATAATATAACATCAAATAGTGTTAATTGTATGGAATAAATATCGAAAAGTGATTGACTCTATTTGAAAAAAAAACAAACAACATAAAATCGACGATTATTAAAAGAAAAATAACCTTCGATAAACCAATAGTAAGATGTGATTGTAAATGAACAAGAAGTACATCGACAATTTCTCGTGATAGACGTTTCTATTCTCGCCTTCATTTCGAACACTATCAACTATTACTGTTAACAATTCTAAAGTCATTAACAATATTAATTCTATTATTGTGTTTTGTTTTTCAGTACATACACATAACATGAAAAGATGCCTCTTTTTTTGACAAATAATAAGCTTTATTAATGATTAACACGTCTAGTTTTGCTTCAAACTTTTTATTGCGGTATCGTTCATCAATCGCATGACTTAAGACTATTCTGTCGAAATTTTGTTGAGTTGTATCCAGGAGAATCATTCCGACAGTAGGATCCTATCGGATTCCGACGAGGGTCAGACAGTGAATATACCGAGTACCATATGTGTTTCAATAAAACCGACGAAATTTTATCGGATTCCTGGACACGGACCTACCGTCGGATCCTTGGTATTAGATCCAATCGGATCTGATGTTGGATTTTAACGGAATCCAACTCTAACGAATCACCCTTGCGCTCTGGTGGCACAAAATGCTTATTTGATCGTGAATAAGAAAATGATTTTTTCCGTCGGAACCGACAATAGGCCCGTGTCCAGGAATCCTATTGGATTCTGCCGGTGAGTCGAACCCCATAGGATTCGATAAGATCCGTGGTCGGATTCATTCACCTGGGTAAATATCAACAAGATGATTATTTTCAGATCATTGATTCATTGAAGAATTATTGAATGGCGATTGCTTTGATGACATTAATAGCATCGATAACCTTACCAACAGATCTATACAACTTTTTCTTTTCAAAAATATAAATTTCAAAGGGAACCTAGTACCATTCATGGCACTAATTTTCAGATCTCAAGTTTCTATGATATCTGAGATCTTATAGAGGGACATCCTTTTTGTTCACTATTCTTTAATAAAACTTTTTAGAAACTTTAATTTTTCGAATAGCGACTATTTCTTATAATATCACATTACTTTATTATATCGAACAAGTTTAATTAATGTTTGAACAATAAATATTCGTTGTGCTTCTAATTCTTTAATGTTCTGTTTTATGTCGAACAAGAAATAAATTGTATATATACAATTGTTTTTAATGCTGATAAAGCTAAATAAAGAATTTTAACAATAATTTATTTTTCTCGAAAATGTTTTTGTTTCCTACCATGTGTTGTTTCAGGTTCATGTCCATTTATTAATAATCAATCACAATATTTTGTTAAATTTTGTACTTCAATAACTTGTTTTGAATGAAATCTATCATGTAGTAACATAGCGAGAAATTCAGCAATACGATAAATAAAATGTGATTAGACATCATAACCTGCTATAGTTTGTTCGATTATTTCAAGCTGATTGATTATCTGAGCAAGAAAATGCTATTAAAAAATAAATGAAAGATTAGAAAATGAAAAAAAAAACGATTAGAAATAGAACGAACTTCATCACCATCTAATAAACTATAATCAACACGAATTAAAAGTAATTGAACAAGTAAATCGAGTAGAGCAGCTTGGAAATCGTTTTCATTTGTATTAACATACTTTTTAAGATCAGTTTTTAATTGAATGAAAACTATGAAATAGAAAAAAAAACAGAATAGGACGAATTCGTTTTTCTGTTGTTTATTTTACTCTCGTATCACTGCTTATAGTTGATGCGTGGCGTGAAACAAATAGATAAATCATCGGTTGTTCAATAGTTATTCTATGAATATTAGTTAAAGAATTATTTAATGGTACTTGCCAAGACACATTTGAAGATTTTGTTTGAGCAGACGACGATGAAACACTTGCTAGTTGATCAAGGTTTAATAAAAACTAAATTAAAAGAGAAGACATTTAGGTAAATTATATAAGAGGAACTAAAAGAAAGCTTTTAGTGGAGTTTGTGTCAAATTCTTTTATTCTATCGATTTTAGGATACATTAGCGAGACATTCATGATACACAGTCCGGGTACTGATTGAATTTTCAACGTCTCTTTTTCTCTAAAGATCATTGGCCTATTGATGCGAAGGCATAATAATTATTTGTGCGGTAATTTCAAATAAATGTTGTGGTTATAGAAAAAATGATTTTCAAACTTCGAATTGAAAATTTGCATAGAGATAGACTTTTGTCAATGCTTCAGACATTTTCGTTGTTCCTATTTTAAGAGACAATTTTGATAATAGCCTGTCTTGAAGATCGCTCACGTAAACCAGCTGATTTAATATTCGGATGTCAAGAGAGAGCCAAATCAAAAGATCCGACACTTTCACAATAAATTATTTTCATTAAGATCGTGGACATTCGCAAAATCAGTTTTTTCTATTACTATGGCATTCTTATATTGAAATTTTCCTTCTCTAGGTAAGCCCTTCCAGGAACCTTAATTATAAGATTTCCATCTAAATATTTTTCCCTAAGAAAGTTTCAGACCCAATACAACATCCTCAAGATTCAAGCTCAACCGATGATTAAAAAAGATTAAAAATTGAAATTTTCTTTACAATAATTATTTCCTATTTAAAATAAGTTATCTCTTGTGTACAATGAATAGTTTTTGTTTGATCAACATTGAATGGTTTCTTCCAAATGTTTTGACGAATCTTGTATAGAAATAAGACTTAAATCAGATTTCATACACATTAATGTTATTGAAAATAATTGTCCATAACGATCATTTTCAGATGAATTTAATAAACTTTAATGTATGTGATCTGATGAACGTAGTAATTCGAATAATCTCATCAGTGATGGAATATTTCCAAAAGTACCTAATTGTGTACGATTAACTTTTTTTTATCTTTGTCCGTTTTTGCTGTATTTAATCTTGTTGATGAATCTGTACGTGATATCACTGAATTTGTATTATCAATATTATTTGAATCGCTTCCATTCTCTCTAAAAAGAGAAAACAAATAAATTCGTTCAGAAGTTCGGAAAATTCTATATGAAAGTTAAGTATCGAGTCTTTAGATAAATATTGTTTATAACATTTAAGCAAAGTATATCAATACTCTTGTTTCATGAAAACAAAAGTTTGGAACATATTTGAGATATTCTGTCTTTTATTTTAAGATAATCTAAACATGATACTATTTGTTAAGATCTATTTTATATATGACAAATGCGGGTGTGGGTGTGGACAAATGCAATACAAGACACCGACACTCAATCTGATTCTAGGAGAATGTTTTATTATTGAAATTTTCTATGTGTAGATCGATTTATTTACCGTTCGATAAGACGATTATTTCTTATTTCATAATTTCAATCGTTAAACATATGCGAAATGAAAAAGTGATCAGTTAACTTTGATTAAATGTTCCTTATCTCATTGTTTATGAAATTATCGCCGTTTATGAACAATGTATCGTATTTGAATTTAGTTCAATTCAAACTATTGTTGATGTCTAGTAGCGTATGTCAAGAACATGATTTATTTGAATTCCAAGAAACACCGCTTATGACCCACTAATACTTGGATGGGCATAAGAAAACATGTAGTGCATATTTGTACGGCTAAAATAGAGAAACGTTAACAAACGACTATTGATTGAACAGTGATGCTGTTAATTTTTCTCTAATAGGAAAAGCTGATTAGAAAAATATTTCATTCATGTAAATTGTTAACAACTGTTTTTATATATCAATATCATTAATTGATGCTCTTTTTGATTATTGATTTCTTTGAATTTGCGCATCAATCGATATTGTTTCTTACTAAAGAAGTTTTAGTTAGATCAATCGAAATTAGATTTATTTGTATGCTAATGTAGCCACGAATAATTCAATTTTAATTTCATTCATCGAACTGCCCTTTGTCTTTCCTTACAAAAGACATAGACTGATCTACTTCTATATATAGAAGTCGTTACGAAGCAAATTAAAATCAAATTGTTTGTTTACATTGTAGAGTATCATCTATAATAAGAATACTCGGGTATGTCATCAACGAAAAATAACAACGTTCACGTAAGTTTGATTGTCAACATAAAATGTGAACCAACTGAGATAGACATGACGCAAAAGGAAGCAAATTTTGCTGAAAGCACTCAGCTAACACGTAATGATCAAGAAAAAATTGGGGTAAGAATTTTTATTTGTATGAATTCTAAACGAAAGAAACTTTTTAGACATTGAATCTCCTAATTTCAACTTCAACTCAACCATCAAATAGCCTATTCAACTACTACCAGGAGCGTGCTGAAATCTTATTTTATTTAAATAAATATGAAGGTAATTTTAGATCAAACACTAGAGTCATTGCAGTATGTATATGTGTTTTAGATGCTCTAAGTGACATTAATGCAATGGAAAAGATAAACGAGATCCCGTCATCAATCAAATTGATCAAATGGTATGTCACTTTGTTATTGCTGCTTTTCATACGATTCTAGTGATTTTCTCTTTACAGGAAATCGCTGATACAAATTCAGTGTGCAAAAGTCTCGCAAGAAATAAAACAATCTTTAGCGATTCAAGGTAATTCAGTGGAATTTGTTTTTACTAAAAGTATAATATCAATCTTATAGATGATCTTAGTCATATTCCCAGGTGAATCAATCCGATACCGAATCCCATCGGATTCTATGGGGTCCTACCATCCGACGAAATCCCGTTGGATTCCTGGTTGAGGAATCAATATCGGATCCGACAGTCGTATTTCCAATGATATCCGATTGTCGGAACCAATGAAATCCGAAGCATTCCGGTTCCGATTGACATTTACTGTCGGATTTTACTAGTTTCCGATATATATTCGGGAACCAGGAATCCGACGATAATCCGATAGTTTCCTTGCGCCTTCCGAAGAGCTCCGTCGGATTCCAATAGGAACCGATCGGAATTCATCGGATCCTAGGCTAGGATTCCTTCTCCTGGGTTGAACTATTAGCACGTATACATCCAAATAATATGAAAAAGCTATTCAATGGTATGTCATAAATATAAAATAATCATAAAAATGTAAGAAAAATTCTTTTTTTTCAAATCTTCAAATACAAAATAATAAAAGAAAAAGAAAATAAATTAATCTTCATGTTGACAAGATCCAATCGTTGATTATATTCATCATCATGAATAATGGCATCTGATGATGATACTATCCGTTGAGATCGTGAAAAAATTCTTTTGTTCTGGTAGTCAAGTATATGAAAACAAATTAATGATAAAAATTTATATTTACAATTTAACCCAGGAGGATCATTCTGCCGTCTGGAAGGCCATCGAAAACGGCCTGAAACGGCTATAAAACGACATAAAACGGCATTAATTTTCACCCTATTTCGCCGTAATTCGTCAGCTCGTTTTACGGGCCGTTTTTTTGCTAGAAAATGGCCATCGCTTTTAACAGTGTATTCGTCGTTTTCGGAGCTGACGGAAAACGGCGCGGTTTTTCAACGTTTTATACCGTTTTTATGGCCATTTACGCACCGTTCTCTTGGACCTGGGTACACAACAAACAATTAAATTAAAGTTGAATAAAGCAACGCCATTGGTGCATTAAGATTTAAGTCATATTTTGGAGATGATTTAACTCTTAATGTACCAATCACCTTGCTTTTTTCAACTTGAATTAATTATTTGTCGTGTAGTGCGTACAAGGACTACTTCTGTAACACATGTAGTATATGGATATTCTTCATAGATTGTTTTACATGCTTATAATTAATTTTTTTTCAGATACAGCCCTTATTTCGAATGCAGGAAGATATTGAATTCTCTCTTCCAGAAAGATCCCATGTAATAAAAACCGCATGAAAATCGGCGGTTAACCGCGGTTTTACCGGTTCGGTTACCGGCTCTCATTACCGCAGAACGGATAAATACTGCGGTTTACCACAAAAAATGAACTGGTATTTACCGCGGTAAACCGCCGGTTTTGATTAATACCGCGG